TTCCGGTGCGGATTACGGATTACGGACTGTATGTGACGGCACCCTAAGATAATTAACGGTTACTAGGTCGACGCCTAAGATCTAGACATATGATTCTTCAACCATCAACCACTATCGGAAGGAACAGAGAAATGCATAATTTGAAATCATTAAATTAACGATTTTTAACAAAAGAAAATGACGCGAATCACCAAAAAACAGCATATGTAATAAGTCTCAGGCCGAATTCCCACTGAGCGCGTCACGTTAGAGCACTAAAGATGTAGATATTCTACCGTCTGCTCTGGTCTCCGCCATTTCTGTTCCGTTCCCCCACTTCTTGCCCTCACGCCTCTGTCACTGAGCTGACAAGTTTATGATAATTAGGTTATGGTTTCTAAGCTGCTCGAACTCTGTGTTTACGTGTATTTTGATTATCCGATGTGAACAAAAAGAGAGTTTTGGACACCAACCAAATTATCGTGCTTCTGTGAAGTAAGTTTATTCTCTTAAATTTCTAATTTACGTACTTTTTCTATTTGTTTAGAATCATGGATCGTTTTTTTAAGTGTAGTTTAGATTTGTCATCGTTTGAAATGACATAAATATGAATAATTGTAATCAATAAGGACATTTATCTTATAAGCAGTTTTTTTATTTCAGAAACATTTTGAAGAATTACAGTTTGAGACTGCAGATAATTGGCGAAAATTAAAACCAAACCAACACTTTTCGATATACCTGATCCACCTGCAATTAATAAAAATGAAACAGATGAACCAAATACAAATGCCATTGCTGAGAAAGACGTAAATTTTTTCATTAATCTTATGTTCATATTTAATCACTCGTACGATGTGTACAAGAGTATTAGTCACGCCCATAAATATAATAATAATAAATAAATGAATAAATAAACAAACAAATTAATACATGTCATTTCTTTTATCTTACTGTAATGTATCATAGAAACTTATGTCTTTCTCAGCAGTGGCATTTGTATTTGGTTCATCTGTTTCATTTTTATTCATTGCAGGTGGATCAGGTATATCGAAAAGTGTTGGTATAGCGTTTGATTTTAATTTTCGCCAATTATCTGCTCGATCAATCTCAAACTGTGATTCTTCAAAATGTTTCTGAAATAAAAAATTGCTTATAAGATAAATGTCTTTATTGATTACAGTTATTCATATTTATGTAATTTCAAACGGTGACAAATCTAAACTACACTTAAAAAAACGAATCCATGATCCTAAACAAACAGAAAAAGCTACGTAAATTGGAAATTTAAGAGAATAAACTTACTTCACAGAGGCGCGAATATTTGGTTGGTGTCCAAGACTCTCTGCGGAGATTACGTATCCATTGCTGTCGACGAATATCATCCACAGGAAATGCAAATACTCGAACACCTTTTTCTGTTTTATTGGTACAATTGACCGCAACGCAGCAAGGCATTTATCTTTTTTTTTGTTCACAGTCGGATACACGCAAATACAGAGTTCGAGCAGCTTAGAAACCATAACCTAATCATCATAAACTTGTCAGCTCAGCGATAGAGGCGAGAGGGCAAGGAGTGGGGAAACGGAACAGAAATGGCGGAGACCAGAGCAGACGGTAGAATACTCACGTTTATAGTGCCTTAATATAACTAAAAGTAAAAAAAAATAATACTCTGTTACTGTGTTATTTACGGAATTTTAAGAGAGAAACTAATAGCGTTTTTAACTAAATAAATTTTGAAATAATCGATCCGTGAAGATCAATCGCTCTCAAATTAATAAAAAACGTTATAAATAAATATCAAATAGCTTAACAATGATATTACTAATAATTTTTAAACGTTATAAGTTTTCATTTTGAACATGAATTCATAGAGAAGGATCTACGGCACCCAATCTGTATAAGCTAAAGAGCTAAGTAATATTTTTTGTAACGAGAGTGTAGCGTTAAGTTATATCCAGGCAAACATGCATAATACATAAGCATATAGTACAAGTTTATGTGGATATACTCTTAGGCCATAGAACATACAGAGACGAGAGATTCGACCAACAG